TCATATTCAATTCAACATTGAAAACATTCGATATAGCCCATTACTAAACATAATAAAGCGAATCTCGCATAATATAATTCAATGAAGCCATAAGTCACTACCGCAAACACTAAACCAGACTTTAAACACATAACAACTTACAATCAAACACTAGAAAAAAACACTACCGGTACATTTACCCAACCCCAAACACATCTACAATATGAACCAAACCCAAACACAATTTAAACAAATACTAGCTCCATTACAACATCTGAAAATCAACACTCCAAACAACTGAATACCAAACTAAAACAAACACTGCGAAGCGCATCTTAACCATCGCTAGTTTATTATTACTATCGCAATTTGTTATTCCTATCGCGATATTAATATACTATCACGATTTGCAACGATTCTATATTATCGCAATTAATAATTGCAAATCCACTCCTTTTCTTCATATTATATCGTAGTCATCTTCTTGTCACCTTTCCTACTCGTAAAGAATCGTTGCTGGTCCTCCAGCGCACCCACTAACATCTCCATTGTTGTTTATGATGAAGCACTTCCCGCTTCAATAGATCTTGCATTAAAAACGAATGCCTCAACTGGAGGTTCAATGCTCTGTTTATTTTGTATCGCGTTGGGCGAGGGATGGTATCGTGAATACATCGTCCCCCGCGGGGTGCTTTAGTTTGAATATTATAAGGGCCGGATCAAATTGATCCAGCCGCTTCCCGACAGTGCCATGTAATCGATTGATATTAGAGCATCCACGGCGGAGAACTGATTTCTTATTGTTAGTTGTCTGAACGGCCAGGCTGACACCACACCACATTTATTCAACGCTTCCCCGAATGTATTGGTTCTGTATAACCGTGCTGACTTCGTGTACATAAATAGGCATCGGCGCCAGCCGGTTTAGCGCGGATTAGAATCTTAACCTCGAACAGCTTGTTCGTAGTGATAAGTGACGAGGGATATAATGAGGTTTTGAGACGATAGCAGGAGAGAAACGTACGTCCTTGCGCGCTTGCGTGTGCTAGATGACAAGTGTTATGAGGGATATGATGAGGTCATGAAGATTAGATATGGGCGCAAAGGAAGGTAAATGCTTTTTTATATCAAATTTTGATTACTAATCACTATACCAAATTGGGTATTACAGTGAGTGGAACTATGTCGTTAAGAACTGCTACGTACGTCTTATATAATTTGGGTTGGTGTACTACATGACAGTGCAGATTAATAATCAGTATTATCAGGGTGTGAATGATTCTCGTCTCTGACAATAATATCAACTTTTTCCCTATTTTTGATATGAAAATTTTGGGAGTGATTTTTTTAGAATTTAGGGTAGTTTTTGATAATATGTGAGTTTCGATCTTTAAGGGTGGATTCAAGGAGACCCAAGAAGTTATTTTAATCTGATGTCATTTTAAACCCTGATTTGACTTTTCACAGCATGATGTGGGAGTATTTGTCTGCTTTCACCAGTTTATTCTGAACAGTATTATTACAACTGGATTATTTATGACATTGGTATTGATGCTG